AAAAAAGACTAAATAAAGAATAAGAACTCATACAGAGTGGAGAGAAAACAGTCTCCCTGGGGGTTATGAGAAACCAATAAAAATGCTCCCTGCTGGGTTGGAGAAAAGGTAAATTTAGGCTAACGCTTAATGAATATTGAAATGTCAAAAGGAACTAAAGATGACATTTAACCCTTTAAAGCCTGATCCAAGAATGGAAAAAAAAAACAGAAATTTTTTTTGTTTTTTTGTTTGAATTCCTTATTTGGCCTTTTAACAAAATACGTAAAAAGAAAAACAAAAATAAAATGTTAATATTAATAATTTATTACTATGCGATAAGTCAAGATTATTTTTGTGTAGTCTTCTGCCCCCTGTTATCAGGTGTATCTGATTGTGTACAATAGGATTTTGAGCAAAGTTTTTACCATTAAATTATGCAAAAGGTATCAGACGTAAAACATTTCAGAAACCGTATGAATCAAACATGATACATTTGGCATTATAGGGTTAAAAAAACACGTCTAAAACACTGAAGACTCTAAAAAGGGAGTTTTTCAGTGTAAGAAATTGAGTGTCAACAACAAATTCCAATTCCACTTTAGTTTGTATTCAGTGGGACACACTTGGGGATGTCATGGGGCTTGGACACTTTCTGAAGGGGATTATGCTTCCACAACTAAAAGGCAGATGCTTTCCATTCTGAAGTCTTGAAAATTGATTTTCTCTCCGAGGGCTACCCCATGATCCGTGTCTGGGGATCCAGCCTCCACCGAGTTTCTGCTTAAATCTATTCACATCAACAAAGACCGGCCACAGCAATGACTGTAAATTAGCGATTTCTCTTTTTTTTGCTTTCTTTACTAAAGTGGCTACTCACAAATAAAGTGATGGAAGAAAAATATCTCGCAGGAGAAAGAAATCTTTTGAGGATCGGATCGTGTAAGACGGAGGAAATATGTGGGATTCCTCCATGTTTAAAGAATCCACCGTGCAGGGAAAGATTATACGTTACATAAAGATTAGTCTGCAACTGCTCGGGAGAACAGGATCCAATAAAAAATGTGCCGCATGCAGAATGTTAAATAATCTCTGCTACTGTTCAGGCCCAGAGGGAAAACATCCCAACAACATAATACTCCCATCTCTGTGGTTTAAATCACAATCAACAGAGTAAAAACAGGAGGTGTGAGGCAACGAGGAGAAATGGAGTGAGTATGTTTGTTTGTGTGTGAGTGTGTGTGTGTATGTGTGTGTGTGTGTGAGTGTGTGTGTGTGTGTGTCTCTGTGTGTGTGTGTGTGTGTGTGTGAGGGCTATGTGTGTGTGTGTGTGTATGTGTGTGTGTGTGTGTGTGTGTGTGGG